TAATTCATGCTCTTTGCCAATGATGAACAATTAAATATGGAATTCATAAATACTTTACCTATGGCCATTGAGTTAGAACGGTTGGAGCTCTGAGGTGCAGCCATTTTTTCCTTCCGGACGCGCAGATCATCCAACAGCTTCTGCGCAAAATCCGATCGCTTCGCCATGTTGTGCTTGCAGACTTGCAGTGCAGCAACTCTGTTTCAGCTCTCTCCAATATCATCCAGCTACAAATTGGTAGATTTCATTTACAAATACATAAATGAGAAGGGATGGTCTGTTACTTTAATTTGTGGGTGGCAGGATCCTTTCAAAGTTTGGTTTAGGTGGGAAGTCTAGTCCCAGCTAAAATAAAAATAAAAATAATATTAATAGAAATTGTTTTGATCATAATAGCATAGAAAGGTTTGAGTGAACGTCAGCTCTCTCTCTATCTGTGTGACATTCGTGTGCCTGACTTATATTCCAATCTAAGCAATGGCTGAGATTTCAAGAAGCTTCTCTTCCAAGCTTTCTTTTTCAGCAACTTTTTCCTGTTTCGCTTGGTCTTAAAATGGGTATGAGTATCTGCTTCTGCTTCTGCTTCTCTCCCCATGGGAAGAGTCTCTGAAACTTTTACTCTTCATGATGATTCCGAAGAAAGTGGAAAATGGGAAACGTATAACTCACGACAAAGGATGATCAATTATGAAGGGTTGAAATTGACAACTAAATAAGCAATTAACATCTTGATAGTTCGGATGAGACGACTTTTCAAAAATACAAAAACAAAAACAAAAATATTGAGACTATTATTAAGTGCATGATTCCATGAATGAATACGGTGTCTACGTTTGGTTGAGTGTCTTCTAGTTTTTCTCCGTCGTGACTCATGGAAAGCATCATTTGTGTTGTCATCTCCATTCACCGAGTTTTCTATGCTTTGCTTTCTATAACAAATAATTTTAAAATAATAGAATTTTAACATTTTTATATAATAATAAATAAATAAAAACAAATTTAACCTCATAACATTAGTAAAATAAAGCCAAGATGGAGACAGCAGATCCGACTGCCTCCTCTCACACATAACCTTCGCATGCTCAAGCTCAAGTGACTAACCATCCTTCTCTTTCCAATGTTGAAAAAAGTTTATAATTCGATTCTTTATAATAATAACAAAACAAAAAACTTATATTAGTGTCTAATTTTACTTCTTATATTATCCGACTAATATTTACTCTTAAAGCAAACACTCTTCTAATTGAAAGAGAAACCCAATTCACTCTTAATTATCTCACATTCCTTAGATTTCCTCATCATACTTAATTTTCATCACGTTACTCCTACGTGCGTGTGATAGTTGATTAGGATTAGGCGTGAACACGATCCAAATTGGATATGTTTCATCTCAAAATCATGGTCAAATAAATTACAATATAATAGTTTGGTTCGATTCAATTTTGATAAAAGTCCTAAAGAAAACCGATCAAACCAAACCAATTTAAGATAGTTTGGTTCGGTTTGGTTTGGCCGGTTAGGGTCTAAGCCCAATTCTCTTTTCTTTTGCCTTTAAAAAAAAACAATTTGTTAGCCCAATTACAACAACAAAATTAACAACTTGCTCCATAATTAAATCATTTTCTAGAGTACGAAACCATCCTAAAGCCTAACATGTCATAAAACTTCAAATTTCAATTATTAATATAGCTCAATTCAAATATTCATATATGATTATTACCTAATTAGAGTATTACACAAGTAAAATATAATATAAATAATAAATATACACATAAATGGACTGGTTTGATTTAGGCCAGTTTACAAAAGCTTAAAATCAAACCAAATCAAGCCATATATGGTTTGTTTTGGTTAAATTTTTTTTTTGATTCTTTTTGTTTTTTTTTTTTTTTTTTTTTTTTTTTTTTAACCAAACCAAATATAGATAATTACGGTTTAGTTCAGCTGATTTCATCAGTTCAATCGGATTGATACCCATCCGTAATTAAGACCACTGTTGAGGAATTAATAGTCTTAATTTGATTTCCATTCGAATTAAAAGGCCCTTATTATTTTCACACCAAAAAAAAACTTGCTTTTAGGGCCAGTTTGGCATTGCTGTGCGGTGAAAATAATCGTTGTCAGATTTGCTGTAAGATAAATTAGTTTGGCGTTTGGTAAACTTTTTGTTAAAAGTGTTATTGGTATTAATTCCCACATAATTAGAAAATGATCGCCTCATAATCATTAAACCTAGTGCCTCTTTGAAACTAATTCCTGTATAATCAGAAAATGAAAGCACCTCATTAGCCGCTTTATCTTATAGCTTTATCTCACAGCAATTTTTAACAATAAGTTATTTTCTCATAGTTTATCAAACGGGCTGTGCTTCTCAAATATTTTTTAAAATCACTTATCATCCAAAATAAGCAATGCCAAACTGGCACTTAGTTAACAAATACAAAGAATTTATAGTTGGGCCTCTGTGGAAGGTAGTTGTCTTTTAGAGAAAGCCCAGCTCAGATTGGTTTTCCCAACCCCATGTGCAAGATAGCTGTATGTTATAGAAAGGCCAGCCCACGACTGGTTGTCCGAATCCGAACCCAAGTTCGTCTCGTATTTTAAACCAACCACCAGGCAACATGCAAACCACGTGTGCCGGTTACAAAAAAATATCTCACCATCCAGAACCTTCTTCGCATAAGAGCCGTCGATTACTTGCCCAAATCTACGGGCTTAAATCGCCAAATGTTCAGGTGTTTTCCTAACAATGTGAATCCGACGGTTGATATTTTAAGCCAATCACCACAGCCGTTGGATTGTGCATACATTCCAATATAAATTTACGACCCCAGGTCCTTTTTCATCAAGTATTATACCGTCGCCGGCGGATCATTTGTTTTCTTTCGGCCTCTCGCATCCTTCATCACAGATCTCTTTTTTACTTGTTGATCATTTCTTCTTGATTTTTCTCAAACAAATTTGGACCGTACCGTTTCTTGATCGTTTCGGTAACTCGTTTCTTTTCCCGCTTAAAGTTTCGTGGCCAATATTGGCTATGAATTTATTGTCTATGTCACATGTTCAGATTCTCGTTTTCGTTTCGGATCGGATAATCCGATCCGCAAATCGGAAATCGTTCCTCCTGAATCCAGTTTCTTTTCCGATATTGGTTCTTGTTCTGTTCACATAACATCAGCTCAATCTCAATTTCTTATCCGATCGGGAAAGACCGGAAATCTTCCGTCATGAATTTTACCGGTCGTGGCTCTGGATCTGTTCATACCGAAACGTAACAATCTCGTTTCCATTTCGGATCGGGAAAGATCGGAATATTCTCCCTCATCAATCCGTCAAGGTATATATTGGATCCGATTAAATTTAATTTTATGCTTCTTGAGCATGCCTGTTTCCTCATATACTTTATTCTTTTATTATTGTTTTTCAGACGATAAACCGTCACTAATTGTCAACGGAGCAATTGCTTAATTTTGTTCGTACGATTCTCTGCTTAAGTTGCTTGGATTGGGATGAAGACGATGGATGATCCACATAATCATGAAACTGTACTCTCTTTGTAAGTTGTTATAATAATTTCATCATGAAGACAATGGATCTAGGCTGACCGAGGGAAGCTAGGAAAGAGTGAGATCTAAGGTATATGATCTGTTAATATTATGAGTGTTTGTTCTCAGACCTTTGCCATTGCAGGTGCGCTTGCATGGCAGGTCAAAAAAGCCCTAATAAATTTATTTTTTTGGGTTTTGGGGGGAAGAGGCACGGGTTTTTTTTGCTTTTCCCGCCCGGCTCTTCCCCCTTCTGCGTGCGCGCGCGCTCTCTCTCTCTCTCTCTCTCTCCACCTCTCTCTCTCCTCGTTTATTCTGTCTGGTCTATGCTTGCATATCTACATTTGCACGCCAATCATAATTTGGTGGCACGGATAAGGCCAACAAGGATACCAATCTGGCTTCACAAAGAAGGTAATTAATAGCTCTCGACCCACTTATTGATTCTTTAATTTCAAAAACAATGTGCAGAAAATCTACAGAAAACAAAATCATTCTTACAAGGGTACATTTGATGATGATCACCCTGTTTCACACACTTATTATAACATAGTTAGTTTAACAACGATCAAGGGAAACATTCTCACCAGTGGTTCAGTTGGTGGTCCGCCTGTTCTCATACACTATCACTATATAGTTAGGTTAACAGCAAACATTCCAAAACTGTGTATTTCATCTTTTGTAGGAATTAGTTGCACACTGACATCAAGAAAGCATTTGCTATTTATTTGTCATATTTATGTTTCCCAATGGCTAAAGATAGAAATGAGGCACTGAAGCTCTATTGGAAGCTCCTTTTCAGTCTATCATAGCAATCGGGAAAATCTACAAAATGAAATTGTTCCCGCACATATACCATAGTTGTAACAAAAAAAATTCCAACATTGTGTTATATAAATTACGAAGATATAGCATTTTTTGCAAGGCCTTCAAATTACTATTATCTAGTGTGGATCTCCGTTTAATTTACATGCTCAGGGCACATTTATTTACCGTATTCATGTTTCCTGGTGGATAACAATATAAAGAAACACTTCTACTGTGCACCTATTCCCCATTTGAGTTTTACATAACAACCAGGAGAATATCTCACTAAATTGAATCAAAGTTTTTATGAGAATTCTCAATCTCTTGGAGCCGAGTGTTTTTTGTGCTATTAATTTGATTTTCTCCTGAATCATATGCTATATTTGGTAGTGTGATTATTTTGTCAATTTGTGAATGTGAGATGTTATCACTGTATTCAAGGCAAAATGTATCATTAGTTCGGTTTGTTTGTGTAATGGCATGGGAATGAATAGTGATAGACATGATCCTTGGTGCTGTAATTGGGGATGGTCTGTGAGTAGTCTGTTACATACGTACCTATAAAAACTTTACTCTCCTACCAGCTTGGAACGTCGTTGTCTCTCTAAGCATAATATAAATCGTATGGTTCACGAATCCTAAAACAATATGTTCCACCGTGGACTTCTCATGTGGAAGAGTGCCAGCCAGTTTTATGAACTATCATGTGGAAGAGCGCCAGCCAGTTTTATGAACTATCATGTGGAAGAATGCCGTTCTGATCTGTGGGTTTGCGACAAACTTCTCATGTGGAAGAGTGCAGAGGCTGTTCCGCTGGTTGACGCATTGGAATAACACAGTTTTGAGGCTGAATACATAATTGGTAAGTGAAATGCTACCCCTTACTTAATTTTCCTGTTTGATGACCGGCATTCATCTATACTGACTAATTTCCTGACCAGTCATTGATCTGAACTAAATATTATGGCATCTGCTTTTGTCTGTAGCTGTTCGGCTATTCATGGATGGAGCACATGATGGAGATGTAATTTGTTGATCTCTGCTATTCTTGTGCTGTGCTCTTGCTCCTTTGTAATTTGGTGATCATCAGAGGCAAAAACAACATAATGGATATGCTCGGTTCTTTTGTGCTCAGTAGTTGGTGATCAGCAAAAGGCAAAGACAGCATAACTCGTGTTGTTTTTTGAAATTTGGTTTGCGCCTTGTCAATTATCCAGCAGTGTTGTCTTTTTTAGTTGAAGGAGATTGAAATTCAGTTTGTTTGGATCAAAGGTAAAATTGCAACAAGTTCTGGAATTGTCTCAATAGGAACCCACTATGCATGCGTATTTGTCATCTATTTGAAATTAGCCTAATTGTGTTGTCTGTTGTGTGGATGCCCATTGTTGACTTGACTGGCGGTTCTTTTTGCCCTTCCTCGTCTTCCTCCCCCTATAAGTAATGTGTTAATGTTACCATGAGGGGGGCCTGTGAAATATTATGTAATTATATTGATGCTTTTTGTTCCAAAGAAATTGTTGTCATTGGAGACGATTATTAATATTATAAATGTGGTAAGCCTAGCATTATTGTGTTGTCTGTTGTGTGGATGCCCATTGTTGACCATTGTTGACTTGACTGGCGGTTCTTTTCGCCCTTCCTCAGTCTCCCTCTCCCTGTAAGTAATGTGTTAATGTGACCAAGAGGGTGTTATCTATTTTGTGGATCCATAAGCTCATTGGTTAGAGCGCCCAAACTAAGAGGTTTGGGAGGTTGGTGGTTCGAATCCACCGGGATCCGTTACATCCAGCTCACTGAATCAATTTTTAAGATACCAATTCGTTCGACTTTTTCATTTGTTTTCTATATGAAATCATTTCGGCTGTCTATGTAGTTGGGTAATGACACTATTTTGTAGGGGTTTTGCCTCCTTTTACCTTATGTTATGCAGGCAAAAGAGAACCTGATACGCCTGGAATATCTTGGGATTGCGTTGCAGAGTCAGACAGGTTGTATTTTTCTATCTGGGAAGTCTTTTGATCGAAGAAAATTCCTTTGCTATTTACTTGTGATTTATGTTCCAGTATAGTAGCTTCTTTGTTGGGAATGGGAATCGTATTCTTGCTATCGGTGCAAAAAGCCAACACCAAATTGCTTATCGTCCTCAGAATATATTCTAACTTGCTGTACGATGCCTAAATTCAAACAAGTTATGCAGCACAATACAACATATGAACCACAGAAAATAAAAATATTTCTAGTTTAAAGTTGGTAGATATTGACTTGCCACTTGCCAACAAGACGCAGAGAATCCACCACGTATCGAATACGCCCACACAGACAAACAAACAAAGACGAGTCATTGACCCAAAAAAAACAGACAAACAAACAAGGACGAGTCACAGGTTTTACCTTTCCTCCTTTGATCTTAACCTACGACCAATGGGGAATGGGGCTCCCGCTACGTGACAGACAGGCCTTCTGATTGTAAAACCCTTAAAACTCATCTCCGTTGCAATCCTTTACACTTTCGGGAAATGTAGATATCGTTTTTTCTCCAATGAGATAGATATAAATTGGAGATATAAAAATAACATGAAAGGAAATGATTTTATATCAAGTTGAAGAAAAATGATATTTATGGTATTTTGTTAGCTATCTCCTTTTATATGTTTGGTGGACCCACCACTTTTGCATTATTTATCCTCATTTTTAGCATGTGAGGCTTAGCAAATGGGGATGTAAGGCCATCTCCAGCCATGAGCTATATCCCAAATATAATCCTAGAATAATGCAAAACCCATCTCCAACCATGGGCTAAACAAAATTTTGGTCAAATTTGGAGGGTCATATTCGGCCATTTAATTCTCCAACCAGGCCACATTTAGCCCAGCTTTGGCCTAGTCCTAGGCCAAATTTTTTGTATGCTCCATTCATGTGCATTTCATGATGATGTCAACTGGATATATATATAATTTATTTATTTATTTATTTAAAAGCCTTTTTAAATGTTTTCAATTCTTTAAAAAATTATAAAAAATTATAGGTCATGACCATTGGATGTCAAACCATTGAAACCCATCCTTTAAAAAAAAATGTAGTCACCTTTTCAAATGTTTTAAGTGTTGTTTAAAAAAATTATAAAAAATTATTGGTCATAGAATATTGTCTCTAAATAGTAGTTTAATTAAATTAAACAATACATAGTTGTGGAATGTATGTGTTGTACCATAGTTTTTCTCAAAATAATAAAATATAAAGGACTCTAAAATATAGCCATGCATGACTAGAGATGGAAAAATTTAGCCTTACACTATTCTTTAAAAAATTAATATTTTGGAGGGCTAAATTTTTAGTCCTGGACTACATTTAGCCCTATGACTGGAGATGGCCTAAGACAATTTCTAGTCATGAGCCATAAGGCAAATATAGTCCTAAATAATGCAAAACTCATCTCCATCTATGAGCTAAAAAAAATTTGGCCAAATTTGGAGGGCCACATTTGGCCCTTTAGCCATCTAATTAGGCCAAATGTAGCCTAGCTTTGGCCAATGCCAAATTTTTGTGTGGGCGCCTTGCATATGCTTTTTAAGAGGAGAGGGTATCATGCATGGGCAAGAGCATGAAACATCTTGTGCAACAGCAGATCCAATAGTCAATATTAAAGGCGCGTTGAAGTCATCGATGACGTCAGTTAGCCATTAAGTTTTTATTTTTATTTTTAATAACCTTTTTAAATTCGTTTTATTTTTAATATATATATATATATAATTGATTTATGATCGTTTGAGGTCATAACCATTGATTGAAAATTTATTATTTATCTATTTATTTAAAACTTTTTAAAATGTTTTAAATTCATTTTGTTTAAAAAAAATACATATAAATTTTAAAAATATTGTCTCTAAATCGTAGTTTAATTAAATTAAACAATACATAGTTATGGAATATGAGTGTTGTACCACAAATTTTCTCAAAATAATAAAATATGAAAGGCCCTAAAATATAATCATTCATAACCGGAGATGGAAAAATCTAGCTCTGCACCATTCTTTAAAATTTTAATATTTTAAGGGCTAAATTATTAGCCCTATAACTGAAGATGGCCTTAACTCATATGTAAATATCAATTTTTATTTTTACATTTTTCAGCCAAATACTATATTTATATTCATTTACACCTCATTATTGGAGCAACTTTCGACACTGTATTTGTAAATTTACATTTCTCTTTATACCTTTGCAATGGAGATGCTCTAAAGTCATCTCCTTTTCATTAATAATACACCTTCTAGAATCCATTTTTATTTGAAAAATCCACATCTTTTTTGTTTTTCCACAACCACAAACTTTTTTTTTGGGGTCGGTGTTCTCATAAAAATTCATGCTGCACTTATTTTTTTGGTAAATATGCTCCACTTTTTCAACTTACCCAACAGGGAGTTCCAAGAAGATCGTTAAATCCTCCACTCAGGTTTTGCCACGTTGCATGGCAGCAAACCAGGACCGTTAATCCTCTCGCACAGGGCAGACGTGCAACTAAAGAGGTTGAAAAACTGACAGGCGTACGTACTTACCCGTCACCACTTGGCCGCTTGCCTGTCGCGTCTTGTCTTGGGCTGTTCCACATAACACGTGGGGGTGGCTTTGGCCGCCTGTCATTGCATGAAACGACACCGGACAGTGCATTTAACATTGCCGCCAACTAAAGGAAAGAAAAAGAGAGAAGCAGCAAGCAGCATAGACGAGAGTGAGTCCACTCTCTCCCACTCTGGAGGGCCAAAATATCTGGACCTGTCATAAGGACACAAGCCACTCCCAAAAGGTTCAGTCTTCCCCCTTTTTCTTGTTCATTTTTCGTCACCAGCTCTCCTCTTGTACAAGTCATGACATTGTCGTGAACAAAACAAACCCCCTTCTCTCTCTCCTTGGAGCTGCAGGTAGAGGTAAGTTTTCTCTGTTTAAATCTTTCTTTGGAGCGCGTTTTTCTGTTCATGTGTATGCCTTCTAACAATTTGTTCATGTCTTTTATTCTGTTTTTTTTGTTGCATATTTCACTTGAAAATTGTTTGATGCATAAGATGGGATTTTTTTAAAAAATAATTATAATTGTTTTCTTTTATAATGCATAGTAGCAATTCTGATTATGGGTTTGTTGTGATTCTTCCGGATTGCCTTAATAAAAGTCAAAAGAATTGAGCTTGGAAAATGGAACGCTCACCTTTTGACTACCAAGGATTGATTATTATAGGCAGACAAGCATATAAACGGAGACCACCTGTTTCCGGGGCCCATATGTGGAAATAGCTCCTGCTGAACGGTCAACAATCAATATTGTTCATTTAATTTTCTTTCGGCTCATTAATTTTTTCATTCAGGTTCAGTTTTTTGTGGAGCATTGGGTTATTTCATTGTTGACTTCTGGGTCTTGTCTGTTTTTTCTTTCTTGGAAGATGGGGTTGGTTGAATCACGTTTCATTAGTTGATGTATACCGCAATTTGCGTGATTGCTCTTCATTTATTTATCATTTTATCTGCACCTCTTGAGATACTGGAAGCTGGAACCACCCTGGTTAGTTTCTGATTTACAGTATTATATTATTTACTAAAACCTATTTAGATGTCAAAGTCTCACCGTGGAAACTACGTAATTTTGATAACATGAAACCAAACATCCTACAATGTATTACCTCGTCGTCAAGTTTATGGCCTTGTGGCTAAATTACTTGTTGGCTGGTGAGGTTCACTGCTAAATGCAGAATTACTGCTTTTTATTTTGCGGTTTTCAGCAAAGTTATGCTTCGTGTTTTGTTTAACAAACTCGAATGTTCAATCTGGCCTCTCTTTGTGATGCGATTTCAATCTTTTCTGTTGCTTAATTACGCATGGTACTTTCTTATCTTCTGTGATGTTTGATGTTCTAGGTGAATTTGAACTCAATTTCCAAACGATTTTTGTTTCAAATAATCTGTGAGCATGTTTCGCCTCTGGAGCAGTTCCCATCACCAAGACAATGATCCGTTGCAGCATGAAGTGAAGGTAATGACAAGTTTGAAATTTAGAAGTTTTGAAGGGAAAATGCTTTTCACCTTGCCAAGAAATCTTTCTTAGTTGACTTCATACTGCAATTAAGTGCAGATCAACGAGCTGAAGGCTGCAATTGGACCGCTATCTGGGCGTAGTTTACAGTTCTGCACTGATGCGTGCTTCAGGAGATATTTGGAGGCAAGGAATTGGAACGTAGACAAAGCCAAGAAAATGTTGGAAGAAACACTTAAGTGGAGATCAACCTACAAGCCTGAGGAAATCTGCTGGGTAAATCGCTTTCCATATTACAATGGTCTCTGTTTCATGCTTTAAATTTCTGCTGACTTATTTACATGGGTTATATTGTCAGCGCGAAGTTGCAAATGAGGGTGAGACTGGAAAAGTTTACAGAGCAAGTTTTCGTGATCGTAGCGGGAGGACTGTTCTTATACTGAGACCAGGAATGCAGGTATTAAGCGTTGTCAATTCATATAGTTAATTCCTTCAGCTTTCTTCATTAGGCTGAAGTTTAATGCTGCTAGAAATGTCGCAGAACACGGTATCAATAGACAATCAAATGCGTCATCTAGTCTATCTCATAGAGAATGCTGTCTTCAACCTTCCTGAGGGCCAAGAACAGATGGCGTGGTTGATAGACTTCACCGGGTGGACGCTAAGTACTACTGTGCCTGTCAAATCTGCACGAGACACCATCAATATTTTACAGAACCACTACCCTGAGAGATTAGCCGTAGCATTTCTCTACAACCCCCCGCGGATTTTTGAAGCATTTTGGAAGGTTTGAGTTTTATTCTTCCTAGTTGCTTCTCACGGCTTCATTAATATCACCTCTGCCACAAGGATCAATAGTCTTCTTGGTTCATGCTAACGCTGTGGTCCTTCCCTTCACATGCTCCCAGACAGAACAAATTAAGACAAACTACTAGGCCTATGTGTTTGTTGTTGATATGAAGCAGATGTCTCCATTAACTTATGATCTTTTAGCATCTGTTCCAAGATAAATTTTACGAGTTGCTTCCTGCTTGGTTTTTTTGGGTCAACAATATGAAATTGAATTACTGATGTGATTTTGAAATCATTCAAATTCATGAGAGAAAATTCAATTGAGAATCTGAGATTCCTATTTTCCCAGGAGCTTTTGTTCTGCTTTTGTGTTCATGTTATTAGAGTTTTCTATTATAATAATTGCTGTGTTGCCCTATTCTGTTGGTGCAGATTGTCAAGTACTTCTTGGACAACAAGACATTCCACAAGGTCAAGTTTGTTTACCCTAAGAATAAAGACAGCGTGGAGCTTATGAAGCAATATTTTGATGAGAAAAATCTCCCTACTGAGTTTGGAGGGAATGCCATACTAAACTATGACCATGAGGAGTTCTCGAAATTAATGACTCAAGATGATGTGAGATCAGCTGCCTTTTGGGGTCGCGATGACAAGCTACCACATTATGGTAATGGGCATTCTGGAGCTGAGGTGGCTCCTGAACCGGTGTGCCTTGCACCGGTAGCCAGCTGAATCATCACCGGAAACCTCCATAGCAGGAGCTCATAAGTATATGAGAATAAGTGAGTTGGACTAACTGGGTGAGCTGGTAAGCTAACATGAGCTTAGAGCCTGCAAGCAACAATCCGGCAGGAATTTTATTAGTTCCTTGGGGACCTTTTCTCTTGCAGGAGAGGTATCTGAGTGCCTTGGCGAGAGAGACTACATTACAACTAGACATGTTTAGTTACTACATTACCATTTAAAAAACAAAGTAGCAATCAGATTTTATTATATTATATTATATGGATATTGTTCCTTATCACATATGTACCTCTCAAGTCCTATGCCAAAGTGATAGGATCATTTGACTTCAAAAGAGAAATTAAAGCAGATCTTGAAATACATTTTTATGTCTCATCAGATCCCAACATAATCAATTTTTCGTAATGAACCCCCACCATTACGCCATCTCTACCCTGCCCAATGAAGCTTCCTTGACATTCAAGCAAGTCTTCGGGATATTCATGTGAATGTAATCTCTTGAAAGTATAAGCGGAAGTAACATTGAAACAATGTAGCTTTGCCTTTACTAGCTTTGAAGAAAGAGATCTTATTTACAACGAAATACAATCTTTAGACAAGGTATATACTATGGCGGCCAAATAAAAGACTGTTATCCCTTTCCATTACACAGGAACTAGATATCTATCATACCCTTCCCTTCTAACAAACCTCTCATCGAGAGTTTATGGAGAAAATTACAGAGAAAATACAAAAACAAATAACTGTCAGCTACACAAACAGTGCTAAGTCAAAATCTGTAGATCAAGATGCATGTCAGACATAGACAAAGTTAGCTGCCTTTGGAATTTGATTAAGCCCAGATTAAAGGACTCACACCAGTCGCCTCTTGAAAGTTCGAGTGGTCGTTTGGTAAGTACGGACCAGCAAACCAACCCCGATACCAATTCCAAGACAAACGCCGAGTCCAATACCGACGCCAACTCTCACACCAGCATTGAACCATGAGAGCTCGCCATCTTCCCCATCCATATATTCTGTCCTCCTCCAGTACAGGTTGCTGTACTCTTCCTCATTCTCTGGCTTGTAGTTTCCGTATTCTGCTACCTGTAATTCAAGAAAGATTAGGGAATCCAACACCCCAAGCAAAGAATAAATAATGAAAATAAAAGAGACAGAAACAGTTAAAAGCATCAGATAAGGATTACAAAGAATGATATCCAACAAATGAAGACATAAGGTCTAATTATTTACCCCTTCCTTACCCTCTTTAAGAAAGAGGGAAACCAGCTGGAAAAATTTCATGGACGCCATCTTAACCGGGGTAATTAAAGCTCTCAACTACTAACTTCTATCCCTCATTACCAATCCGATCTAAAGGGAGAAGAGGGAGAGTTAGGGTACAAACTATGGATCAAAGTTAACAAGCTCAGTCCGATTCGTTAATGGACACAGGACACAACTTATGAACAATCCAAGATAATAAAAGGCAATTCCAACCTCAGCGCACTGTCTACAACTACCCAGCAGAATGTGGTCCCCATATCGACAGGCCATCGGCATGTGTCTTTGGATGAGGCCAATCCATGTCTGACGCCAGAAAAACAAGGATGTGAAAAACAATGCAACAGAAAACAAAATGGGCAATTGAGTATAACCCCATCACTTGAAAACTGTGCCCTGCACATGAGACCCATGTGCCATGACAAACCATTAAGATAAGATTCTGTTTTCAATTGCTTGTATAACAAGGATTTCAGTAACAAGAAACATGTTTCTGAGCAGGAAGCACAGGCAGTCTTAAGACCCGCAACAAAAAGGTAACAAAGAGCAACAATTTCGCCATACCGCTATATAGTTTCAGATCACGGAGTCCTGCCTCTCACACGAAGAGATTGTTCAATAAACTCATTTACCCATATGACTACAAGGACTGGAGAACAAAACTTCAGACGAATTTCTCCATGATAACAAACAAATATTGAGCCTAGACTGAAGCACTAGATGAACACAGGAAACATTTTTGGAGAATCAGAACCTAGCCCCTTACAACATGCATATGCCAACACTGCCCTAAGACACCATATGAACGCAACTAAGGCAAAAAACTGAGATCATATTATCACACAAATTTCAGTATGTACCTCCATATCAAGCCCAGGAGAGACATCTTTCTGGCATTCAGTTGTCTCGTACTCAGGGATCGCATCCAGCGTGCTCATCCTATTATGTTTCTTCCGGAAATTAAGCTGCAGGGTCTTGGTTAAGATGATTGGTGTCCCAGAGAAGCAGCCTGTGATGTAAACCTCAATGGTTGGTGCAGGTAATTCAGCGCCACCAAGTTGTTTCCCCTTCAAAAATCCAGTGCCAGCGGTAATCTCTGATTCACAATTCATGCTCCATCGCTTGGCATTGCTTTTTGATTCGCCAGTGAAACCATTGCTATTACACATATCTAACACCCCAGACAGGATGAGATCTTCTTTGTCAAACACTTCAAATTTTGCACTTCCCGTCAGCCTTATGCTGTCTGTATTCACAAATGTGGCTTCTTCAGATTTCTTATCGACCCGATCCCTTCTGAGATGTGAAGAGACACCTTCAGAAAAAATGCTACTTTTATCACCATTGATTTCCAAAAGGGTATCTGGGAATAGAGGAATGTGGTTGAGAGTAAGATGCTTTGGGGTCGAATCATCGACCTTAAAGTTGCTAACCCTCACATAGAAGACTCTCAGATCAAACCAGGATGAAGCTAATTTACTGCAGGGCTGGTAAGGAGAGTATCTAATAATCTGGAGGTCAGGATTGGCAACTTCCCCATTGTTCGCTCTTCCATTCAAACCATCCATTGTTAAGGAGGGTGATCCTTACTTAAATCCCTCAATATTGACTAAAATGGCGATGTCATTGTAGTATGAACTATAACAAGGTGAACTCAGACTGAAATAAGAAACCTGTTAACAAAAGGCAAGAATATTTTCTATGTTCAGATAATAACACCAAAAAATAAACCCCAGAAATCGGGATGGTCAACTCCAATCCATGAAACCAGAACATAATGAAGAAAAGGTTGGCTTTCCAAGCAAAAACGTATTTTAAGGGGAAAAAGAAAAATAGGAATCTAAATTTAGGAACAGAAACCCTTGGAATGAGGAAAAAAATAAGTCAAACTCACAAAATCCAGCTATACAGGCTCATAAATAGAATCTGAAAAGAAAAATATACATTCTCACTCTCCTTGTGAAAGATAAACAGAAATCTAACTTCATAAAAGCTAAAGATATGTACAGAAATAGGATTAGCAGAGAAAGTTTGCCAAAAAATATAGCAAATCTATCCAATTCGAATCAAATACCCACAAAAACTGACTGAACAAGCTGAGAAAATAGGAAAAACACTTGTTTTACAGATTGAAGTTTAGAGCTTAACACTGCACTAACATAATCTTCCACGAAAAAGAAACTTCAACCGAAAAAAACAAAGAAGATATATATATATATTTTTTTTGTTCAGGGGATTGAAACAGGGAGACCCACCAGCAGCTCCTGGAATTGAACAAGAACTGAACAATTCAAATCTCTGTCTTCAAATTCAATTTCGTGCAGTTTCAAAAGAAAGCAAACGAACTGAAACTCAATATATACAACTCTGTAATTATTTTCAAGAAAATATTACAAAGTATTGAAAAGATAAAAAAAACACACAAAACATATATGCTGCAAAACCGCCCGCAATTAGCCATCAAAGCACACGTCACGCAAGCAGCCAATTGTCTCTCGCTCTCAAACCATACAGAGCCACAAACAAATAAATGGCTATGAAATGAAATTTGAAATAAACCAAACTTACCAAGTAATTGTTTCAATTCCATCCACAATCTCAGCAAAAGAGATTGACTTCTCGAAAAAAACAAAATCGCTCTCCGGTGTCCAACTCTAACTCCAAGGTTGAATCTTTTGATACTCACCCAGAATTCGTGGCTACCAATATTAGTGACCCAAGTCGTCAAAAAAATCAAACAAAATAAAAAAGCAAAGTCTATTTCCTGTTTTTGGGTTGAAAATAGGTTGAACTGTGTGTATTATGAAAGTCTCCAAAGAAATGTCTGAAATGCGGTGATGGGTTTTGTAGGAGGATGGTGATATGGGCCTCCTCTGACCTTAACTCATTTTCATCATCTTATCCGATTGGGAGGCAAAGAATTTGCACTCACGAGGCTGCTGTCTCTGAAAGGGATAGGCATGGCCAAAAGCTTAGTGAGAAATTAATGGCTTTAAATTTATTTATTTATTTTCCTTCTTTGAAGGATAAAACTAAGGATTCAATGTTTTTTGTGTGTACATATATACGATAATCTTCTTTAAATGAATGTAAACTAATGATGAACATAAACAAATAAAAAATAACAGCACCAAAATAAAAAATAAAAAAAGAAGAAGGAATAATTGGGATGCTATTGTACATCGATATATGATGTACAACAACAACAGCAACTATTCAAAGAGAATGACGCAATAGAGAATGTCTAAAAGAAAAGGTTGTTAACATTTCTCATGATATATGATGTACAACAACAACAATTACTAGGAAGACTATCGATAAGAGATCATACATATATGAAGGTGTAATAGAAAAAGAGAAGTGATTTTTTACCTCCACTTGACAATCACACATGTTCAAAGAATAGAAAGTGTAAAGCATGTTAAAAGTTTATAAGCCCTGTTTGCTTCACGGAATAGATTTGAAGGGAAATTACTTCTGATGTCATTTCCCAATGGATGGGAAATAAAAGATTCATTTCCACATTTGATAATGCGGGAAAGTAATCGGAAGATATCACTTTATTTATTTTCCCATGTTTGTTTAGAGTATGAATGGAAAACAAAGTTTGTATAATTTTTCAATTATATTGATATTAAATTAAATAAAAAAAAGAACGCATTTAATGATATATTGTAATTCTAAATTGTTAATGGGGACAAAATGGTAATTAAAAATGTGCATTTAATGTTGGCTTTTTTTTCATAACTTTCCCATATGAGGGAAAACAAAACCAAAGTTTGGAGGAGGGTTTCACTTTCCCCATACTTTCCCATGTGCCAAGCAACCATTTTCCATGTATAGACTTACTAAACATGAGAACGCAATTGATTTCACATCCCCAAGCCTCATTTCCCATGAACCAAACATGGCCAAGGATTGACATATGATTTGTCAGGGCTTTTTGTATTTATATTTACCACTTTAAATTCTAACAAAATCGGGCAACTCATTAATTCCTTACAAATAAATGACTTTTTGAATATATCTAAACTTTTTTTTACTTCTAAAAAGTCATAATTAAATACACCTAGATTTCAATGTATTTTTTTAAAGTAAATTGAAATTTGAATTGAATACACCCAAACGTTTACAAAGTCGGATATAAAATAGGAAGAACACTCACTCTAGCCAACTTGGCTAAGCTTGCAATGATTCGATGTATGGAAGCACCTTCTCTTTGTATTTATCTTTTCTTTCGTGGGTGCAATTTAAACAAGCCTGATAACACAAAAATTAAAGATCATAATGGCTATTTCTAGTCCAAATGCTTTGGGCTTGAAGTAAAATTGTAATGAAATTCAAAGCGTTCATATATAGGGCCCAGAAATAGCCCATTGCAGGTTTGTGTAGGTGAAGAACAAACCCAATCTGACCTGATTGAATTTGGTAACATATGTTTAATACAACCTGCTTAGTTTATATAACATAGGTTGTATTAGAATGTCATACATTATTATATTGTTGATTAGCCTCCTTTAAGGAAGAAGAAATGTGGCAGCCGCTCAACCTCTCGTTGACCATTTGACCTTGACAACATGTGGCAGCTTCATAATGCCACGTCACGATAACAAATCATCTGTGAAGTCCCATTTGTTTCTAGACGAAAATAAATTAAAATCAGTTTGGAAAAATTATAGGATTAAAATTGTAAAAGTTGATTTATCCGTTGTTGGACCCACCGGCCAGCACATATTTGCCGTCGGCAGCTCTAATGCTTACGAGACAAGTCGGATGACGCGTCTACGCAACTTTCCACGAGTCGCGTGCGAGTTACGAACTTAGGAGGACTATTTACGAACTTTGACCTTGTTGGTCGGTCAAATAAATCATAAACTTTCGGCAACCCGACCTTATAGATATAAATGAAATGTTTTTTGAGTACTGTTATTATCATAAAAGAGGCAAAATGTTTATTAGTACTTTTGTTATGTTGCCATTCACTAGTATGGAAAACTCAATTTAATTCCTTCTTTTATCAATAGCGCGCATGCCAGGCCCACAAAACATTTTGAGCTTTGCTAGATCATGAACTCCCCTACCCCTCCTTTTTTTCAAAAAATAAAAATAAAACCCTCTGGTTTTCTTATTTTTGTGTGTGGATAAATTCTGATTTTATTATATAAGAAAACCCAAATGATGGTTCATGATTAATGAGTGACAAACCATATTATTAGTTGGAATTGTTAGTATCGTTGTCACGGCTACTCTTTTAAAAAATAAAGGTACATAAGTGAACAAAACGAGAGTGAAAAAATCAGCTCGCTAATTGGATAAGCAGGCTTGCTCAAATAGTCATATGTTAATTTTGTAGTGGATTTTGTGTGTTCTTTTTCTTCCTTTAATTAATTAATTTCGTAGGAATAGAAATATAAGAACAAAGGGACTGGAGCCAAACGCGCATCAATGATGAAGGCTGATAAAGTGGGGCACTCTCTCTCTCTCTCTCTCTCTAACGAATATTGATGATGATGATCGATTTCCATCCATCCATCCATCAATCCATCAAAGATGAAAGATCAAACATCAAAGGTCAAGAGGTAGTCTGTAGGGTACAGCTAAAGAAGTAGAAGTAGGGTATCAAAGCTCAAAAGGCGCGAAACCCGGGGAAGCGACACAAGTGGTCAGACTGCAACACTGAGTCTGAATTGTACAGTACAAGTGCATCCATCTTTACCCACGTAAAAATACAAAGCACATGCCCCCTCCCCCTCTTTTCAAATTTCATCACCATAATACTAATAATATTATTAATATTAATAATAAAAAAACAAAACAACCCATTCGCCCTTTGGTCCAACCCTGAAGCCGTAGCTGTGTAGGCTGCAGCTAGTTAATAATCGAACCCAAAAACAAAATAAAATATAAAAAGAAAGAAGACGCTAACCATGGTAAATATATATGGTTACCCTGAGGCTCAGCCCCCCCCATATATTTTCATAATAAGAGGCTGATGGATGGATGGAGGCTCTTATTTTCTCTCACTTCCTTTCGACCTCATTTCCTCCTCCTTGTCTTTTCTAGCTTCTCTATTTAGATAGAAAAATGGACAAAGGGAAAAAAGGGAAATATAATTATTTCATTGGCCTTTGAGCTTTTAAAGATTATTTGGTTATTTTAATCAGTAGATAGTAGGAGGAGGTCGATTTTTATTGGGTCTTGGATATGACTTAAAGAAATTATTTTAATGGGATTTCCAGAATTTAGGTGCAGGTCAAAGATACGAGTCTAGTTTCTCTCCCCATTGAGACCTCAGGGAGAGAGAGACACAGAGAGAGAGAAGCTTAAGGGTTTATTCAAGATTGGATTTTTTTGGCGGTCTGGGGTTTAATTTTCTCTTGAGAATTCAGATTAAGAGAAAAGTTCTTGTCTTGGAATTACAATTATCAAAAGCTTTATTGTTATTATTTATTTGATAGATAAAGAAAAAAAATCTATTATGGGTAAGAAGAAGCCTCAGAAAACGAAGGAGCTTTCAGTAGCTATAGCAGAAGCTCCATCAACTGGAGATGAAGGGCAGCAGCAATCACAGCCTCAGCCTCATACCCCAAGAAAGAGAGGAAGACCTCGCAAGATCATTGAGAAAACTGAAAGCACTGAAGAACAATCCACACCACAAACAGAAGAAGCTGCTGCTGCTGCTGCAGCTGAAGATGTTGAAGAACAGTCTAAAAAAGCAAAAGCCACTGAGGATGAAGATCAACAAGAAAAAGAAGAACAAGAGCAGCCAAAGATAAAAGAAGAAGAACCCTCATCGGCTTCTGTGAGAGGAGGTGCTAAAAAGGAAGAGGGACAAGCTAGGCAGCCTTCAAGAAGTAGAGCTAGGCGGAAAAGCAAACCCAGAAAGAGTAGCTAAATTAGTTACTTTCATGGTAAAATTTGTTGTTCTTGTTCTTCCCTCTTTCTACGTTATGTCTGCATCAAAAAAAAGTTTTGATCTTTGAGATGTTCCCTTCGTTTTGCAGCTTCTGGGTTTGATTATTATTTCACTTTCTTTCTCTTTTGCATAATTGATTGATAATACAACACGTGAGAAGAGAAAGAGGTGGACTTGGCTTTTATCATAATCATCTTCTTTTCTGTATGCAAAAAACTTTCCAAGTAGTTAAAGATTAAAAAGACGTGGATTTGATACTTTTATATTGATTAGTAGCTCATGTATTGAGATTGAGCAACTGGGTTTGTTGTGTCTTGTTTGGTTGATGAAAATATATTAGTTCAGCTTCCTATCATCAAAATTATTATTATTATTATTTTTCTGTCACATGTGTATATTTGAGGATTGGAGGATAATGGAAGTTTGTTTGTTATTTTACTTCTAGGTTGAAAGGGGAAAGAAAGAAAAACAATAGAAATGAAAATGAAATAAGTACAAGGGAATAAGGGGCAATGAATGTGGAGTGAGAAAGCGTTTGGGGTTTTCTCAGAAAGAAGAAGATTGCAATCTGGAGGTGGGGAAGATCGAAACAGAAATCGTATTCTTGCTGAGTTTGCTACTCCCAGTGCCAGCTCTGAGTCATTCCCAGTAGATGCCAAGTTCCAAGTCGCTGCATCTGGCACGTGATACTCACGTTCTAATACTTAGAAGCAAAAGAAAAACACTCCAATCCGAGCTACCAGAAAAAGCTGCTTTTATAAATATAAGCTATAGCCGCCTCAGGAAGCCAATAAGTGGTTTTGATAGGGAGGACGTGGCAGTTAGGGGTTACATGGGCGCGTTAGGTGCCTTAGCTTACTGTCTCGTCCGTTGAGTCTTAATGATGGACAAAGTCAAAGAAGGATGAAACTGTGGAAGTAAAGGTCATAAGCTTACAGCAGGACGTGTTTAATTACAAAGCAGCTTCTTATTTTCCTGTGGGCAACAAAAAAAGAAGAAGAAAAGTCCAATTTATAATACAAAGTAATTTTCTTTTATTGTTTCAGAAACTTTGTTCGAGGAAGATGAGGGAGAAGGATGGGCGTCTGTACGTGGTTTTTATTTTTATTGGGGTGGGGTCCATGGTTCCTGCTTCCACTCGTCAACTTGTTGTGCCCACCTGAATATAAACTCAAACCAGCCACTGTTTGATTGAAGCGCGATGGGTTGTATGACACTTTCTACAAAAGCAAATTAAATTGCGCAATGTCATCGGGGGCCTTTATTTTTTCTTCATCTATTTTTAAGTAACTTTTTTTTTTGAAAAAAAACATAATAGGATGATAGAGCTTGAATAGGATTAGATTTGTGGGAAGTTCGATGGTCCGTAGACATTCCGATTTCAGATTGTTGATGCATTATGGAGATCTTACATCTCATCAAGGCTTAATTAAAGTCTTTTAATAGCTAAAATTATTTAAATGCACATGTCACGTCAGCCCATTTATTTATTTTAGGGTTTTGTGGGGTTAAATGAACGGAAGTGGAAAAGCGAGAAAATTGTCAATATTTAAAGAATCTGGAAGTTAAATGAGAAAATTTCAGTTTTATAGATAAAGTGAGACTGAGTGCTCATTTGAAGGGGTAAAACAATAATTAAATCTAAAATTAATGGCTGTTTCAAAATCGGCATCAACAGTTTAAACCAGACGGCTTTCAAACCGGCAAACGTGTGTGATCTACTGAACTTACTAAAACCTCCTCTTTTCCATCTTCGTTTTGTGTACAAGAAAATTATTATACGCACAAGAACAGGACTGGAGAGAGACGAAGACACGAGTCATTTTATGGTGAACGTGTATAGAATGTGTCATATATGAATTATAAATGTGAACCTCCATATTAATCATATATTTCATCTGAATAGTAATTGCACTTAAGTTTAATGATCACGTGGCTAATATATGGGCCTTTCATTTTGTCGGGCTAATCTTTTGAAAGAGGTTTTTTTATATTTTTTTTTCTCTTTCAATTTTTGGGCGGTCTGTTCGATAGAAAATGAACTGAAAATTCTCATGAATGGGAATATCTACAATTGACTGTACCATGCTCGTGAAATGAATTCACTGATATGACATAATTTCCTTTGCCTTGTAGCAATCATAATCGAGGTGGGTGATGTGTAAAGATGTACGATATTTTTTTTGTCAAAGACGTGTACGATATTTGGAGGGGTCCGAAGATGACAATTTTCCATTTATAGAATGACCCAGCGAACAAAAATTACATAATTAGTAAAAAAAAACCTCAGCAATAATAATACAGGGGCCACTGAGGCAGGATACATCGCCAAATATTACTACTAGGTTCAAAGGATAATAGAGCCAAATTGGATGCTGAGCTGACAACACGGTAGGGGCACAGGAATAACATTTTCATCGACTCGACTGGAAGGGTGTATAGAAAAACTTAAGACTTAGCTGAAACATAAAGCATCACAGAGTAAAATTTTCCCAAAAACAAGCAGAGGATAACTAGAATACAAGGAGGATAAACTATTTCAACATTTAAACAATAACTTGTGCCTATATCAGTAGACTATTCATGTTGTGCAAAACTGTTTCAAAGAAGTAAAACTACAAGCAAAACTGTTTCCTAAAACTCCGTACTTATCCAAACCTGGTCGTCACTGGTTTGATCTGTGATGACGCTCCTTCTTGTATCGAGACTGATACGGATCAAATCCACCTTCCTCTGCACCATAAACAGCCCATGAAGGTGTGGCAGCCATGTAATCCTTACTGTCAAAAGGTCTTCCAGAGGACACCTGAATTTTTCATAAGAACGGATGAATGAACAAATATTATCATCCAAAAGGCACTCTTAAGAGTATATAATTGTTAGAGGCACACACCAGATCATGAAACTTTTCATAGTCTATCCATGTGAACCACTGGCCATTGATCTTGAACTTGTCCGTTTTTGCCAGGAGAACACAACATGAGTGGACATGCTCACATGCCACCTCATATTCCCCGTTACTTTTCAAAGCTAAGGCCTCTGAAAAAGCCTTAACATCAGCATGCCATGGCACATTCTCCATGGTCAACTTTGATGTAGCAGACCTGTCAATAGATCATTCTGATTATAGAACTCGACCATTTTAAATGATAAGACTACTTAGAAACCAAAGAAAAGAAAACTTACGATCCACAATATGTAACTCCTTTGATTTCAACAAAATCAGGATTTCCAATGCTAAAGATGTTATAATAAGCATCAATATCTTCTGTATTCCACCCTTTCACCAGAGTTAAGCGATAAACAGTTCGTTGCTGTTTTTCCTTGAGAGATTTCAAGGAATCCTGGCAACAAAATTCAAGCATGCACATAAGTAACACCGAAAATACTAAATCATACCAGAGGAAATTGAATGGTGCCAATAAGATTTTTTAGATACTGTTTCATTGATTGACTATTGAAACTCATACAGAATTTAGACTCTGACAAAACATTTTTTTTTGTCCAAGAACGAGCTCCATGATAATCAAAATTCTGAACCAGTTATATTAGTAAAATATTATGTACCAAAATACCCCTGGTAAAAACATTTGGTACTTCAGGGCATACAAAAAACTAAGAAAGGCATAAAAAATTGGGAATTCAAAGTTTCAAGTGGATCAGATACTTACAATGAATCGCTCCCAAAAATCCCCAAAAAGTGGCCTGTCAATTGCCTTCAAACTCTCTTTAGTTGCAGCATCCACACTTACATATAACTGAATGCATCGAAGAAGTCAACAAACAATTCCCAAAAAGTACACAAATACTGTGATGTAAGACAATAAAACAGGGGCACACAAACCTGTGTAATGGGTTTCAGCATTTTAATCTTTTCAGGAAACTGAGCATTTGTGACTAGAAACGTAGAAATCCGTCTCCGATGCAGCTCATCTACAAGTGCATTAATCTCTGGATACATGATAGGTTCACCGACAAGTGATAAGGCACAATGCCTGGGAGAGAGACCCTCTGTTAATCGCTCCAATGTAACACCTGCAGAAGAAGATATCTCTCAACAATAAACTTAGTGGATCTAGACAGTATTAAATTTCCTAAGGATTTATTAAGAGATCCAAAGTAGAAATCACAAATCTAGAACTCAAGATTTAATTAGTTCAGCAGTTGGACATCAACGACTTTAAAAGAATTACTAAGGAGAAATTCAAGGTTGATGATACCAACTATGAATCACAGTCAACTGCTTTCAGTCAATTACTGGATAGTTGATGATAGTATAACCAAATAGTTTGGGAACCCAACAAAATCACCAGTACAAAATCATGTCTGCCTAAAATTTCTTTAATTCATCACTGAGTCAGGCAGGCTTGTGGAACTCAAAACACCTAGTCCATTATCCAAGGAAGTATTTCTTCCCAAAAAAACACACAAAGATTTACCAGGAACTCCTTTCATTTGTTTGATCATTTTTGTGTGCAGGTCTATGGCAGAATTGACAATCTCTAATGGATCATCCATCTTCCACTGCCAACTCTTTCCAACAGGATTAGTGTGATGCCTCCAACAGAAAACACATTTGTTCGCGCATGCCAAACTAGGGGTTGTCTCCATGCACCTGCTCCATTCAAAAGTTGACAAATTTAAACTGCTAGTTGAGGCAATGTGAAACACATAAAAAGACTGCCAATATAAAAGTACATGAAACTATGTAATATAAAGCAATTTGAATTTATAAGCTATAAAAAGACTGGCAATTCACGCTCATTACATAAAGCTTATGTAATACAGATACAACAACAAACCTATACATTATGAAAACTGTAAGCTGGGCCTTATGTTTCACTTCATGAAAACTGATATATAACAGTTAAATAATAAGCAAAAAATCTGCACATAAGACATGTATTCACAGTCACACAGACATGCACATATGCGAAAGGATGGTGCAAAATCTGCTCCAAATCTAGAACAATTTCAGTTACCTGTGACTTTCTATGCCATAAAATGAGTGCTTGTAGCAACCTCCTCTACCTCTAAGCTGTGACTTTGTCCATCTACAGATTTTGACACCGCTATGTGAACCAATAATTTTATACCCCTGGATTTTTATCACAAATAAAATCAAAGCCAAACATCAGGATACAAATCCTAAAAGGCAATTACACAACTGAAAATCTTCCAGAAAGAGTTTGACTAAACAAGCTTACCTGTTTTACTAAGCTTGCCCGAATCACTGGAGTGACCATCTCTTTTTGACCATTCACCGTCCCATTAGTTTTAGTCACCGTCACTGTCCTCCTTCTTGAAGGTCCTTTACCTGCAATATCCTCAAGATCAACAACCTCTGACTCCAAATCATCTTCCTCCTCATCATCCTCGTCTGACCCATCAAAACTCTCAGCTTCGCATTCAGCACCAACCCCATTACTCAAAACCCCACCATTTTCAGCCACACCACCCTTCAAAAACCTCAGCACCTTCCCACTCCAAGCCTCAAAGACCTCGTCTATATCACCACCATCCACATCACCTTCCCAAATTGAAAATATCTCAACAGCGCCCAACGCCCTCATCCTTTTTGCTACGTCCTTTCCCACCGCATTGAACGTAGCGCCATAGGCTCGGCTTCCGACGCCGAAGACCGCGAATTTGCAATTAGAGAGCAACAGTGATCCCACTCTGAAGTCCTCCGCGCTCTCAGCGAGCCAATTGGAGAAGAACTTGGCGTTCGCCGGCGGCTTCCCATCGTCCCAGGTCGAAGCGATGATTAGGACGAGGGTCTCTTTAGGGAGGTCTTCGGGCTCGTAGTGATTGGGGTCGACGAGGTCGAAACCGAGGCCGTTGGAGGTGAGAAGATCGAGCAGACGATGAGCTAGGGCTTTGGAGGTACCCGTTTGGGAGATGAAGAAGAGCTTGCCTTTGCGAGGAGAAGAGCTAGGGTTAGGGTTTAGGGAGAGTTTGAGTTGCTTGAGGCGGCGTGATTTGTAGAAACAGTAGAAGGTGGTGGCTGAAAGGAGGGCTAGGAGAGTGAGCCGTGCTGGGACTGAGGATAGGGACATGGCGGGAAATGAAATTTCTGGTTTTGTCCTTTCAGGAAATTCACCTGAGTGTTCTGGGGGAGGCGCGAATAAGAGTCATGCCCGCGACCGTGAGAGTGATTCAATTTCAGAGCCGCGAAGAGTGAGAGAGGAAGCAGAAGACGGCGATCGGAATTTGGGCACGCAAACTTATTCGGCCCAAAAATATGATTCGAATTTTGGGGGGTCTATTTCTTCTCCTTATTCCTCGTGCTAATAACGTGTTATGCTGATAACCTGTTATATAATTAAGGGAAATTGAAATGAAAAATAGAGGAAGACTTGAAAAGGAGAAGAAACCTATTATTCGCTAAAACTTGTTACATTCATCTTTGAGACTTACAACTATAGGCATTTTTTATAGTTACTATACAACAATAAGAGCATAGTTTACAAACACGAAAAGGTAGAAATAATGAGTGTTATGTCAGTCATCCACATTCCCGTATATTTATAACAGTTTAAAATTAAATGTCTTCTTTCGTATAGCTTCTCCTATTTTTTTTTACTAAAAGAAAATTATTCATTAGATTAGGATCTCATTACGGGAAACATATAAATCTATACAGAGAAAAAACCATCACTGAAAATGGTTACAAAAACGTAAATAATGTCATCTCTTGTGATGAACTCATTCGCACTCAGCCTCATCCTCTACACAAAGTGCACGAACCCATAAAATCTAACAAGTGGTGTGTATCAAAATTAGTGTCTGTGTTTACAATAACCACCGGTTGCAGGTTGTATATTTCGCTCAAAAAATGAAGCATCCGGCAGTAAGCATGGCTTTGCCACCGGCTTTCATAGTGTTATGACTTAGGCTGTATCAGTTTAAGGCCGCCACATGGTTTTCTGTGCGCATAATATGCCCTCCTTTCCCTGGGCATAAGTCATCCGGATCTCCCAATGCAAACTCTTCAATATGCCCTCCAAGGGTTCCAGTATCTCAACTTTCTCACGTATAATTGTCCAGCCTCCAGGCCGTAACAAGCGATCCATCTCAACAACAATCGATACCGGCTGCTTACACCTACAGATAGTAGTTTTCAAGATGTAAAGGATATAGGCCTAACTGAAAAACTAGCTGCAGCTACCTTCCAAATTCAACTTGTTGGTTGTTATGATGGAATGTATTAGTGGCATAAGCAAGATGAAAGAACTCTAAGTGGAGAAGTTGACTCTCACCGGTTCTTAAGCCGTGAAAACAGATGATCGACATGCAAAAGGTCATATGATCGGGGATAAGTACCAAAAGACTCACACCAGTCATGGTATGTGCCAACAAGCCCGCGTTCAAATATGAAAGGAAGTGTATCAGGTGTATGGACAGGGACCACATTCATCACCCACACCTTTTGTTGCGAGAGGGCTGCAGCAAATCTGCATACAGAACATTACAATTTGATTCAATGACCAAAGTTTGATGTACTTTTTATGGAAAAGAGAGAGAAAGACACCGTTTAGTTGTTTTTCTTTACATACCCTCCATAGATGGCTTTCATGTCCATCACATTTCGAATATTTGACCAGTCAATACCCAGTCCAATGAGATAGGATTTTTCAACAATGGCTTTCCAGTGCTTGGTGTCTGCAACCAACTTATCTTTATCACTCAACCAGTCGGGATACCTTTCGAGCCTCTTGGGCCATTCCTCTGGCCACTCTGTCCCGTGCTGTTCAATAGCAGATGGAATGGCATGCAAGCAAGTCCTCACAGGAACATACCTGTTGAGGAGCACATAAGGTCAAGTGTTCCTTCTATATATAGATACAACAATTGCTTTCCAAATCAAATACATTGAAAAGTAGTCTTCCATGCAAAAACAATGAACGTATTAATTCCATATACCAAATTAACGAACCCAAAATGAATACAGACATAATGTTAAAACCACGAAAATGAATATTGTAAAGCAAGTTTGTTTAAGCTTACCACGCTGCATCTGGGTTGTCATTTTCCTTGCATAAAGGTGGATATTTCTTCCTCCTCAACTTATATATATCATTTGAGTCCGGTTTCTGGTATATTTTGACACCCACATCACTGACTTCGTCAGTTTTATGTGCCAAAATATTCCAACAGATAGATGCTGCCAATTTACTCATGACTGGAAAAGAAAAAAAAATGCGGCATGTTATTCAAAATCAAAGAGCCTAAGAAACCTTGTTAGACAGCAAGTGTAAATACTAGTCTCGGGTTAACTTCATATGAACGACTCTAGAAAAGTGTAAACAAATTAATACAGGATCTGAGTCTATAAAGGCTTCAAAGCTATCTTACAATACAATGCATAGATCTGCATATAACTTCAGAGTAATTAGAGACAGGTCTTCCAGTCAATCCGTACAAGTGGACCATAACCTTGGAATAAAACAAGTTGCAGTTCCATAGAAATGAAACTTACAATTTTTCAGCACAGGTGCATTCAGGGTAAAAATATATGAATACCGGCAAGCAAACAGATCTAGATGCACTAACTAAGGAAATCACTCCTCGCAAGAATAGTATAAACAGTAAGATTTTCCAAGCAAACAGTCTACTGTTCCAGCTTTCAAGCATATCAAAAAAGTAAATAAATAGCAGCATAGGGCAAACCTTCTTCATCCTCAAAGCTGTCATGTTTAGTTGACAAGACAAAGTATCCACCAGGCCTTAAAATCCTATTCATTTCTAGAAGATGCTTACCCCCTGCAAATGAAAGAAAACCACACGAATGCAACTTGAAGTAGGATTTGAAAATTTAAGAAAAGATTTTTAACAAATTGAAAGGCAGGGACAAAAAAAAGAGGTAAACTCAAACCATTTGAATGCCAAGGTATGGTGCACCCTCCACAGTGAATAGCATCAAAAACACCACTAGGAAAAGGTAGCCTTCTATTTCCAAAGGGGCTAACTAAAGCAGGAAAACCACGCTCAATGGCAACTTGAGCTAGGTCAACTAGGTCATCTTTCAAGCCCAATGCCAATGCTAAGACATCCTTATCAAGGAGAGAAGCCCCAAAGGCAGAATCTGTACAACCAATATCCAGCACTACTCGGATATTCTTTCCCCATTCGATGTCTGGTACCATCTATCAAATGAAATGAAATTCAAACTGCTATTTATGGTAGAACTGACAGCATTAAATTACCATTAGGAGATAAAAAGCATATATATGCATATCAGTATATGTGTATGGTGGAGTTTAATTTCTATCTGTAAATAGCCGCCGTGTTCAAAAATTCCCATCTCTCACAATACTAGGATGCAAGAAAATTGTAGACATAAAGCAATTAGACTCCTTATTCTAGAAATATAAGATTTTCAAAGGTGCTATTTCATATATAAAAAACACGTCTGAAAGAGAAATTGTCTATCTACCCAAACAATCCTGTCCAATTTATATCATTTTATTTCAGGTTGGAATAAAAGAAGGATCATAAAGATTCAGCACAACTCAAATTCACGACAACGAGGAAAGTTCACCTCTTCAATGGACTCAAGATAGTGAAGAATTCCACCCCTTAATTCAGACTGGTTTTGAGGAAAAGTAAGATATTCTCCAGACTCCATCACCCAACTATGCTCCTTGATGAATGCAGCAAGTTTTGGATGTTGCACGTTCTTATACAATATCTGCAAAACATGAGAAGTTACAAAAAGAAAATATCAGAAAATATTTTTAACTCTCAATGCACTACAATAGAACAAGAGAAAAACATATCGAAACCCCAAGCATATACCTTTACTTTGCTATCAGGCCAGGGGACTGGGCGACCATAACCATCACGAGGAAGAGGTACAAGACACATTGGTTCTGTTCTCGGGCAACTCCTCTCTGTATGCCTATATTGCAGCCTTCCAGTGGTAATTTCCATGTCAATACAAGGAATGTAATTATGCTTGCTCCTTGTGCTACATAACTTCCAATGATAATGTGCTTTGGGATCAAACAACGGACCCTTAATCTTATATCTCTTCTTCCCCCTTTCTTCCGATTCACCACCATCATCTTCCAGCTTCTCCTCAGATTCCTGATCCAGTGACACAATCAAAGCACCTTCCCCTCCTGTTTCCTCCCCATTTACTTCACCTTCATCATTCAAAGCTTCTTCCTTTCCATCCACTACTTCTCGTTCTTCATCTTCATCTTCTTTTTCCTTCTCTGAATCCTCACTCTCAGATTCCTCAGAACCATGTTTTTCCTTCGACACCTTCTCTGGTAACTTTTTCTTACCTTTCTCTTTTTTCACATTTGCTACTTCTTTCTGGTCCTTCTTCTCAGATTTATGCTCATGGGCAGACAAAGTCACAGACCCATTGAACTTTTTCTCATCCTCACGCTTAATAGAAGATTGTGCAGCAGGAATGTTTACCCTTGTGTTCCTTGATCCAGGAGGCGCGCCTATGTTGTCAAAGCTTTCTATTCGAGTAGTCACAGAGGAGGAAGAAGAAGAAAACATAGACCAGACGAATATAAAGCAGAGGCCTAAGATGGCCACCGCAGTCATTTTTATACAGAACCCACCTGGGCGTTTTACTTGGCGGCCAAACCGAGCTACGGCCATCACTCTAACTAAACAACGAAATCTGAACCCCAAATGAAAAACCCCGCCAAAATGAGATAGAATATCAAATAAGAAAGATAGCAGTATAAAAACTTACTAAAAACGGAAACTTGACAAAAATCTGGAGCAGGAGGTAAGATAGATCTATGGTGTATTTCTAAAAAAAGAAAAGAAAAGCAAGAGAAGCTGAAACTGAAACTGAGGGAACCCAAATGGGAAAGTCGCTGTCTGGATCAAATCAGAACAAAAACCACATCAAGATCACCCCTGAAAGAATTTATAATCTGAAGCACACGGATAGATTAGCTTCATTTTGTTTTTTTCTTTCAGGCGAGAAATTAAAGAAGAGCTTCACTTGGGTATATTATCCAAAACACAGAATGCAGGAGAAATTTATCTGTCAACCAGAAAACAAAAAGAAAAATGAAAAGTGAAAGAACGAGTTAGCTGGGGAAATAAGCATAATCAAGTATAAAGTAATAAACTTTTGAAATTTTAAAAATCATAGATTTATGTCGGATTGACAGAATTATATTGTCTGGCCATTGCTGCTAAAGGTTTGGAGGCTCGAAGTCAAGAGTAGCAAAGAAAGCATGTCGCATTTGGAAGAACTCAGATATATTTGCGTTTGGCAGCTAACGCCATCAAGGGGAAGGACCAGCTTCACAAGTTTTGGGTTTCTGTCAAGTTTCGCTATGGTGCGTGCGTTGTGCTCTAAGATTGCTTCAAAAAATAAAAATAAAAAGTCTTTTTTTGTTGTTGGTATTTTTAAGTTTTAGTTGCCAAATCAATTTTTACTCATAGTTGGACCTTCAATCAATCAAATTCATGGTTCCTTTGGGTTTGAGCAATGGGTATGCTCTCGACTGTTTGTTATACTGTAGTCGTTAAAAGTTTAGCAAAATAAAGAAAAATTAACTTCTTTTAATTTTTGAAAAGTCGTTTGCTTTCCTTTTTGTTCTTGATATAACTCTCAAAAGATATTTTAAGGAGTTATCAAATTTAGAAATAAATAAATAAAACGAAAATCGTTTACATTACCAACTAACGGTAGATTTTGGAATGCTTTGCTTTGTACTAATTATTTTATCTTCCTTTCTAGGTCTCACAATCTTCCTCTAGTTTTTCTTCCTTCTTTTTTCCGTTATCTTTTGCAGAAAGCAAACACGTGAACATGAAATACGATTGTCGGGAAAATGTTTCTGAAGTTTTATTATCTTTGAAAAAACATGCCTCGATTTGCACCAATTATAGGTCTCTTCTTGTAAGAGAGGGCCTCTTGGATCACAGGCTTGCTGTTAGAACCCTAATCCACTTCCCAAAATGCATAGATTAAAAAAATGTTCCGCGCCTGTCATTAATTTCCCTTTTGGTAACACTTAAGTAGAATTTACATTCAATAAATAAAAAACAAGGAGAGAGCTGTCTTAGCCGTGGGTTTGATCAAACATGGAGTGGAGTATCTTTTTCTACATAATTAGAGTACCATACTTGTACGTAGTCTTGGTTAATTTTACGTGAGCTTCTAACTAAAATTTGGCTTTTCTGCATCTAAATTTGACTCATACGAGGAACAAAACAATGACAAATCTCACCGATCCCTCGACATGTCACCTTCGGAACCTTGATGTGTTGGGGTATGTGAGCTTGTTGGCATGGGGCCGATAGTAGCCACCTTAGCAGAGTCTTGATGTTGAGTAGAACCTGAATCTGTAGGCACTGATGATGTTATCGTTGGAGTGGCAGATGACCCTTCTGGGAGTTCAGGTGAATTCAAGTGAAAATCCTTTTCCTGAGATGCATGCATATTGACCTTAATCCTGCATGTCCAAGAATTATTATCATCTCTCTGTCCAAGCTTTGATAGTGTTAACTTCCCAAAGTAGCAGGTATTATCAAAGGGGAATGTGTTCTTCCTTCATTTGCCAAGCAGGGAAGTTTCAGCACTTTTGCTGTCCTGCCCTCTAAGCAGAATGATGGACAAACCCAAACCATGACAGGGCACCGATGATTTAACAGGAAATGCGTGGGGCTAATATGTGCAGGTGAAAATCACTTAAATCTTACCTGTTGTGGATATTGACATACTCATCCGTTTCATCCAATATCTCTTCCTGGCATAAGGAAAAATTTACAATTTGCATCAACATATGCAACAATTATGAATACAAAAATCCAGTATCCATATAATACTTGCAACTTTAGTAAAATTCTGCAGAAGCAGATTCAGATACTTATTCCTATAATATATAAATCTAACATGTTCAAACACCACCATTACCTGAAGAAGTTCTTCAATGACATCCTCCATGGTTATTACTCCTACAACCTCTTCATTGTCTGGGAAAACTGGGATAGGAGTATTCTCAATGTCCAGAATACAATGCGAACAACCTCTGTGTCGTTTCTTAAAAGCCGGAGTAGCTGGTGGGCTTTTTTTATTTTGTTGACCTCCGTCACCATTGTCCATTGCTATCTGAGCATTGTTTGAACCCACTTTTCCATCTGGTAATTTCCCAAAAACACAAATTACGTAGTTGAAATGACAGACACAATAAGAAGTGGCAGTGGTTCAGCCATAAATTTTCGGATTAAAGTCATTGGAGAACACATCTCTTGAGGATGTTCCGGAAGAAAGCAAGTTAAAGAAGTTGCAGTGATATCAGGAATACCCCTTGAGGATGTTGAGGTTAAAAAAATACAACGTATGCACACACCTTTCTTCAATGAAGCCTCAGATTGGCCTCCTTGCATCTTACAGTCATCCTTAAACACAGATGTTTCACCCTCTTTGCCATTCTTTAATGCTTCCTTTCTCCCATTTAGATCCTTATATACAACAGCAATGTGGCTGTGACCCTTCTGAAATTCATTTAGAATATCATACAGAGGTATGTCTTCTGAAACCCTGTAGAACAAATGAAAAGCTCAGTCAAGAATAATCCAGCTCCGGCCCAACAAGAAATAATACACGGATGGTGAAATGAACTATCTCAGGTGTGTGAACCCCTCAAAATCACAGGAACTCATGTCTTCTATCAGATGACAAAAGAGAAAAAGATAATGTGGTACTATCATACCGAGGAATTCTTCTTATCATCATTTTTCTCAAAGTAACTGCATCTTCTGGATCAATCATCAAGAGATTCTTAACCTGAATGTAGATGAGATTGAACTGATAAGTTTTCGCACAGCCTCACCTTTTTTTTTTCTCGGTCAGACATAAAGCATCACTTCAACTTTGACAAAAGTATATAATCAAGGCAAAATGACATTACCAGAACAAGTCCAATAATATTTTTGGGATTCCCAGCATAAACTGGAACTCTACTATGACCCTTTGTCATTATTGCATTCAGTGTTTCCCTGGAGAGAGAGAGAGAGAGAGGTTTAGAAGCATGGAAGAATGCATTAGATATGATAGAGAGAACAAACTGGAATCCGCAAACCCACAAAGTAAGAGGTGCATCCAGATCAAGGGAAAATGCGCTTGATATGAGAGTCATGGCATCTTTTGCAGTCTTTTCAGTCAACTGAAGTGCCCCAGCGATGATGGTAGTTTCATCATGTGTTAAATCCCCGCCTTTCCCAGCCTAAATAATAAATCATATGCATATCCAATATTTAATCAGAGAACATGGGAAACAGGAGGACTTTCAGAGAGTTAAAACATAGGTCCGAACATAAAATTTCCTAACATATGCCACTAGACTACTAGTATAGTTCCTAACAATATAGTGCCTAAAGTGAACTTGCTACAAGCCAGAGCTTAGTGGAGTTATATACCTCATTACCATGAAAATCCACAAAAGTCTTTAGCTCTGCTCTCCTTAAAAGGGCAGCATGCCCTTTACCTAACATCCAATCCAGAACCTGCTGACAGAACATATTTAGAATAGAGAAAATAACATGATAGGCTAGCATATATTCAGCTAAGCTGCATAACACAACTTGACATACATTTAGTTGTGGTAATCATTACGTGAGTTCACATATTAAGATCACCTTACTAATTGGATAAGAAATTGGGAGGAAAAGAATAAGAAGAACACGCACGAACGGGGCCATTGTTGCCCCAACTGTCAATCCATAGCGAGTACAGACTGCTTGTGGCAATATCTGAAGTAATGTGTACAAAGAAATAGAAGTGAATATCTTTTGTATGTATATACCTTCTCAAATTAATAATAAGCTATTATAACAACCCACCTCCCCAAACACGAGGATGAGAGTGACTGATATCACAATGGCTGCCCAAGGGGGCACAAGACTGTCTAAGAATACAGGAAGAGCCTAATATCAGAAGAACCGTTAATTGATTAGTAAGAAAACAGAACTGAATGCCAATGTAAGGACACAAAATCACGTAGTTACCTCCATCGCCAAGGCGTTGCCAATTAAAAGTGTACAAAGTAGCAGATGCTGATTCTTTACCACTGGATAAATCTTAGCTGCCAAAATCAGACTAGTTTTAGACCTCTAAACATAAACTAGTTTTTGCAGATTCATACAGTCATCTATTGGTTTGACTTGGTCTACAATCAACTCAGTCATCTAGTACTTTTGCCTAGTGTCCGACATCTTGAAAAACCAATTATATCATTTTCAATCCACAAACCGCTCTTAAAGCCAGGCAAAACTGCTGAACAAGCTACATCTGTTACTTGATCATTTACACCTTCCAACTAAAACCTCCACAGAACCACAATAAGCCCAACTGAGCTAATTGCAGCGAATATTAACACCAACTATCCTTTGAATGGATTCTATAGAGAAATAGTCGTCATCACCGATTAGCTCAGAACCCAGATGATCATAGAAGGCCCAAAGTAACAAGTATTAAAATGCGAAATTCTATGAGTTACTTCGTCTTAAAACTTGAGAGATGAGCTCGCAAAGGCAAGCAAAAAACAATAAAGTAAAAACAATGAAATTAAGAGTGAGTATGAGTTTACCGGCGTGCTTGCGATCCTGAGGACGACCGGACTTCATGAGGACCTCAAGGTCGACGAGGCCGAGAGACATGAGGCCCAGCGTCAGCCCAGCCATCATTCCGGCAAAGCACACCAGCCCTATGATGATAAGCACATACAGCCAGAACTTTGTCCCACAACAGATCACCTCCACAGCCATCTCTGTCGCTTGCTCGTTGGGTTGCTGGAGACCGTAGACGGAAGACCGAAATTTGTAGCGGTGCGTGTGGGTTTTGTCTCTCTTAGGACCGTATGATTGTCTTGGATAACTTTTTTGCCGGTTCCATTCCCTCGATTTTATCACGACCCATTTTGACCAATTTTTATTATTATTACCAGCGCGCTAGTTGAGAACGAAAAAATCTTGCTGCTGTGTGACCACTTGGCGCTGTCATTTGTCATTTGAGCGATGATAATTTATTTCGGGAATAAGAATAACCTCGTCAGCCGTGGATTCGAATAAGTTAGGTATAGTTGCAGATAATATTACATTATTACCTTGTTTGTCTACTGCATGCTGCTAACAAACGGTGCTCTCTATGCCACGACTGTCTCCCATTTCCGGCCATTTCTACTTATACGCGCCAATGTTTCGCTGGCTGTGGACCCAGCCATTTGTAACTATACTCATCCTGGCCCTACTAAAACACAAAATAGAACCAGAAAGCTTTTTTTTTCTGGTTATGTTGTCCTAACCATTTTCATCTCAAATTCTATTAAAATTACTAAAAACTCTTATCTTTAAAAAACAAGGGCGCCAAACCTACATTTATTTTATTTTCTTTTTTCCGCAGATGTTCTCTATTTTGTTAAAACAAGTTTGAGACCTTTGACTTTGAGCATTTCACTTTTACAGTTGGATTTACCCGACCGTGAAACAGATTCGCGTCGCTCTCATGTAATAAGGCTCTCGATTTCACTGTATGGTCCCCAAGCGGCTTGCTAATAAAATAACTCTGGCTAAAATAAAAATTACACAAAATTCTAAAATAATGAAATTTAGATTTCTATCACTTGAATTTCTGGCAATTGAATATTTCAGTATTTGGATTTATGTATATCTTTTGTAAATAACATAATTTTATAAATGGTACTTTGAAAATTGTAAAATAATGCATATTTGATGGAAATTAAACTAGAAAATTTGAAGCCCTAATTTCTACCATTTTTTTGATGCATCATTTAATAAATTCTGTATTTAAGTTGCCAAACAAGGTTCTCCCCTTAAATTTCCGACTTTTAGCTAAATTCCAAATTATTTTCCTTCATCCAAATGGAGGGTCATGGCTTTTCATTAATAGGTTAATTCTAACATGACATATTATACAAAAATCCTTAGAGTCTATTTGGAGAAAAACCCAAAACTAGCCACTTCTTGTCATTGTCATTTTATAGTTTTGGATTTTTCTCCCCAAATAAGCTCTATATGCGATTTTTTATTTATAACATGTCATGTTAAAATGGGATTATTTCTAAGAACCTAGAGAAATTAACCAGCACGGCTGAAGATCTTTGTGCGGTGCAAATTTGCAATCGCAGCAACCCAATTAGCCAATCAATTGCGGGGATTTGTTTGGAACCGCGAACAGCCTCACGCCAATTTGCCTTTGTTGCAACGCAAAGTAAAAGTTGTACCACCAGAAGCTCCAAAGATGATGCCTTCTTGTCGTGTGCAAAAAAACCAAACAAACAAATGGGTACTTGTCGTATGAGCACGTACTGGGGCTTCCTTTATTAGCCATCGGATATTAGTTTCCTGGGAGCCACTCGCAACAGATAATGTCTTTTTCTGTGGAGCTCTTCCTCGTCAGTCGTCAATTATCAATAAAAAGTACTTAGCCTACTGGTAATAAGCCTATACAGCAAAACAAACGGAAGGCACGTGAATTGTGGTAGTCGTGGACTACATTGGTACCTCCCTTTTTCATCCAGGAAAAAATCATCAAAAAAAAAAGCTGGATGCGACTTATAACCCATTCTCCTCAAACCCTTGGTTTTTGTGTGTGGCTCTCTTTTCTTATCCCTTATATCACCTGCAACCTTTGATCCCTACGCATAGCATGCCATATGTTCTTCATTCCTTTCTATTAGTTTCTCAGTTTCCCTGCACTCTAAAGACCCTTCCTTGCAATCTAAAGACCATGTCAAGTCAAGAAAATGGCTCACCTGAACACCCAACATGGCCGGAGTTCAAGCTTCCTGACTTGTTGTCTACGGACACTGTTCGACAAGTCCATGCAACAATTGAGAATGAATGGGATCCCCTTCAGCGGTCTGCATGCCAAACTGCAGCTGGTAGAGCCTTGTGGAAGCATGTGATTCATGACCCCCTGGCAGACATACTTGCTGGAGAGACGTACTTAAAAAATCTTCATGAGAAGATAAAGAAAGACTGTGTCAACAAAGCACGAGAAATCTCTGGAGTCATTCTTGCAGTTCGAACCCTCTGGTTTGATTCAAAACTTGAAGAAGCACTTCATTCCTTCAATGACAGAGAAGCACAAGTAGTTCTTCTTGGGGCAGGTTGGTAACTACTCTACCACAAATTTTTTTTGTTAACAGCATTTATTGAACCAATGCGGCATGCATCAAGGTGAACTTCGTGCCTACGATGCATGATGTTGGGCCCTTTTTTGCTGTAAAGTAGATTTCAAAGCATATGAGTTCTAGGTACTAGATAATCCCAACACTGGATTAGTTGTTCATTTACATTGCTTTATCACAATCTACTGGGAGAATCCTTGTAGAGCTCTGACCATTTCTAGCAAAACTGATCCCCTTATGCAGGTCAGGAATTATTGGTCATTTATGTGTGCTAGCTTTAGGAAACCAGGACAAACTTTTGGACCATGCCCCATCGAGATACTAATAGTAGTGAATATTGAATTATTAATATCATGTATATGGAATGTAAATTTCTCAAATCTCACATGTATAGAAAGTAAAAATTCAGCCTAAAATGAAATATGCACTTCTTTTTGTAGGAATGGATGCAAGGGCTTACCGATTGAGTTGCTTGAAGGAAAGCAATGTGTTCGAAGTTGATTTTCCTGAAGTCCTGCAAATTAAGGCCACTCTTCTGCAAGCAGCGATGGATTCTACAAACGATCACCAGTATCTAACGATGACAGCAAAATCCATAACCAGAGTGGCGGCTGATATCAGAAGCAATGACTGGCTCGAAAAACTTCAAATATCAGGGTTTGTGCCAGAGAAGAACACAGTGTGGGTTCTGGAAGGCATCCTCTACTACTTATCCCACTCTGAGGCCACACAAGTACTTGAAATCATAGCAGACAAGTGCTCGCTTACTAACACAGTGCTCTTGGCAGATTTTATGAACAAACCATCAACCAGTCTCTCCAGTTCCATCTTCCATTTCTACAGCGATTGGCCTGATCATCTCCTGCCATCTCTTGGCTTTTCTTATGTTAAACTTTCACAAATTGGTGATCCAGATGCTCATTTTGGGCTCATGCACGATCCCTTAAATCTGTTCAACAAGCTCCGCAGCTTGCCTAGGTCAGTATATACCCACCCAGATGATGGAACACCATGTTGTCGCTTGTATTTGGTTGAGGCTTCTGGTTCACCAAAGCAAACTATTCCATAGATGGCCAGCTGATGTTCAATAAATATCTCCAACTAGCTGCACAGCTTGTCTAGGTCAGTACAAACACAGCCAGATGGAACACTTCGCTGCCAGTTGGTGTAGCAACATCTGATTACCTATTAGACCACTCCACAGGGACCAACAGGTCATTTATAATTTGATACCACAAGTGTCAACTCAAAATTAAAGCAGCATAGGAGTAGGCATCAATATTTGTAGTACTGTCGAAGGAAAATATTCCATTGGAATGAGAACTCAAATGAATTTGAGATGTCTGACAAATTCATTAGCAAACAAATATATACATATTCAGCTGTTCAATTATGTTAGGCAAATTATCAACAATGCTCACCGACAATTGGTAACCTTCAGTATGCAAAGTAAAAATTTATAAGTGTGCATTTTGCTTCATTTCAAGCCAGACAGTTAGTTTGTGGATTGGTTTTCACCATTAGATTAACTGAATGACTAGAATGACTTAAGATGTGACGAAATGTACATTTCTACAGAGCTACTTGCATCCCATTCTGATAACAACGACCAGAATGATATTTCTACAATGAGAAACTGAGACTGCAACACGAAGACTTCGCAACAAAACTAGCATTTACTTTCTTTTTTCTTTTTCTTTTTTTGGTTGGAGCAGAACTAGCATTTACTTACTTCAATAACGATACTAAATTATAAGGATCTATCTTGTAGGAAAAAGAATGCACCAAATAAGGTCAAAGAACATGACAGAGGAAAAATCAAGACACCAAACAGAAAGAGCAAAGGGAGATTTCTGAATCTGGAATAAACATGCGTCTGCAGAATTTCAAACATGACATCCACAAGATAGTTTTGTTCTGCAAGGAAAACAAAATACATATTGGTCAAGCTTCAAGACAGTCCTTAATTCCCTGCTCAAATTTGTCTAGGGATGATATGGTATCCATGAGAGAATCTGCAACCTTCTTTCTGCAGCCCAACAAAAAAATTAGTCAGATAGAAAAATGAATGGTTACTACTACAACTTGGTGCCTATTAACCCAAACAGGTTACTCACAAAATTCCATCTAAGGGTAAAGAGTGAGACAAAGCTGAAAGTACATAAACTTCTACACGCAATTCCTAGAGCATGTTTTCAAGAAAATTCTCCCTTGCCCATGTTTATCTTGACAAAAGAAACATACCTTTCAGAGGCAAATTGAACGTCAGTCTCATTTACCAGAACATTAAGAAAAGTGAATGATCTGCAATACAATAAGCAATGGAAAACAGAAACAAAATGAAAATGTTAGAAATAATACAACAATTCTATAGAGAAACAGTAAATTTCGACAACCAGGGTATAATATTTGATGAAATGAAGAATGCTTTATCCAATAATCTTTTTGCCAGGAAAAAAATGGCAACAAACATAATTTAGTAATCCTGACCATGAAAATATGTCAGACATAAAATGTACACCAGCCTGGAGAATACAGGCAAGGAACACTGGCTTGGCTACCTTATAAGATCATTTAGCACGGATTCAGCTTCCAATTTTACAGGATCCTTATCACCAAGCAACGACGCCGCATTCTTTACAACCAGACGGAATGTGCAAACCTGTGAAGTAAATGAATTTGGACAATAAAGCTATAGCTAATATGAGGTCAATTAGCAAAAGTTCAAGAGCTCCATTATCCTACAACAAGATGCTTTTAATGTCATGCAAAATAGTCTTAAAAATTCCTTCAAATTAGCATCATATGCTGCTTAGCAATGTTCGACAAATCGCTTGGTGGTTGGCAGCAGGCAGGGGCCTAGCACCTAGAGGAGTAATCAGGGCCTAGGCGGGCGCCTAGGCTTTTCTTTAAAAAATATATTTTTTGTACTACAAATGATAAATTTATACCAAAATCATGCAAAATAAAAGGATATATAAATTATAAAGTACCATAATTGATATAAAACACAGGGAAAAAGTTAAGCATAAAGCAAATAATAGTACTACAAAGAAAAATACTTGAAATGAGAGAAAGCGTGAGGTAGGTTTTCTTTAAAGTCAGGAAAAAATATATATATATAAAAAAAATATAGGACTCGCCGCCTAGGCCGATTTTTCGAACACGTCCTTAGAAGCCTCACCATGAGTACAGTTTTTATCGTAACAAGCTAAACAGTTTACCGTAGGCACTAATTAGAAATTAAGAGCGGCGTAATCACTCAGATTAAATAAAAGACAATGAGAAGGGTGCGAAATGCCGAACCTCAACCCCTGTATTGGCTTGAAATGCAACAAATGAATTCCTGTCTTCTGGAACGCAATCCCTCGCAGCAGATTTAAATAGTCTCTGAACCTCCTCTATCTCTTCATTTGTACTATTAGAATCGGTAGCCGCTGTCAAAAACAACCAAATTAGCACCAACGAGGGATATATGAAAAAATACACTTGCATATTTGTGTATAGATTTATATATATTGATAGAGAGAGAGAGAGAGAGAGAGAGAGAGAGAGAGAGAGAGAGAGACTGAGTATTCGATGAGCAGTGAGGAGGCTCTCTCTAGAGGCCTCAATTGGGGCCAAGAGGAACCTGGAGGCCTTCTTCTTTTGTTCTCGGAGCCAATCCTTTGGTCCTGCTACGCGAAGATGGACAAATTAGGGTTTCGACAGCAAATGACTAGAAAAGTAAATGAAGAAATCAAAATGATGCGTGCTCACAAATGCCGAAGGAGAGTCCGAATGCCGGGTCGGGTCGCGAAAGAGAAGGAATTAGAGCGATGAAGGAGAGCAAAGCAACGTCTCTGCGACTGTGTAAGAAGTTTGGAATTTCATGGTTGGAGGAGAAGTTGTGATTTGAAATTGGGGGTTTTGGTTTTGGAGGGAACGATGAAATGGCAGTTACAGTAGCTGATGATGAGCTTGAGATAAGGCGGTGCCCAGCAAGTGCCATAGTTCTTGCGTTTCAGTTTCTTACTTTTGTGACGACGTATGGCGGGGGTGAGTCAGCGCGCTATACAACTAGACGTTTTGCACTTCTGACGTGGCGGGATAATATTAGCCAGAACAAATTAATTAAAAATAATCCACTTTATTTGTATTGTAAATGGGCTTCAAGGGGAGTTTTTAAGTTTACTGGGCTAGAAACATTTAGGCTTAGTTGGTCTTGGGCTTTTCGTCCCCTATGTAAATTTTATAAATAAATACCAAAAATATTTTTTCAGCTCAATTATTCTCACTCACTAGCCTCTTCGCAAGCACTTCCGCATATGCGAGAGGCTTTTTTTAACAAAATTTAAATTTATTTTAGAATTAAAAAAGATGATGGGTAGTGTTCCATAAAAAAATTATCAATTATCTGATTTTTCTTTTAATTTTATATATGAAAAAGTGTGAATTTACCATATTATCTAATTTCAATTCTTAATGTTTGCATTAATCAATGGTATTTTTTTGGTATCTTAATTGTTTTAATATTTTCTGCCTTTTGCTTTATATATATATATATATATAGCAGTTCCGATCTCTTAGACTACAGGGGTCCAAGGGATTTGTAGTTACTCACCATTGGATGTAAATTCAACTATTCACTCACTCTTGCACTCCTTTTAATGATGGATGACTACAAATCTTTTGGATCCTTGTGGTTCAAGAAATCGGGGCTGATAGATATAGATAAAATGAGATCCTAAATTTTTTTGAAATTTATATAAGTCTCAAACGTACGAGTACGACTGTTCGTTGATGCACATTGAGTGTGATAGTGAACAGAATAAATAAATAAAAGATAATTTTAGGCGTTCGCTGTTGGGCTTGAATTTGTTTGTTTTTTGGGAGAGGGCGTGCACGTTTTCCTTGTTATGGTTTCGCGGATACGCGTCGTCCTACGTGGACTCGCTGTGCAGGTTGTTTGTGAAAATTACTCGAGATCGAGAGAGAGAGAGAGAGAGAGAGAGAGATTGCAATGGGAGCCACAGCTGAGCTGACGCATCAATCAATTGTTTTAGTTTTGGACGCACGTGGATGTGGAGTGCATTTTTAATGCGATGCCCACCAGATTTCTAGTAAAACCCATCCAGCATGTTGAGTAACTTTAAATATTTAATTATTTTTTTAATAAGATTGGGTCATTAAAAAGTGGGTTTAGCTAGTCTTGGAGATGCTCTAAAAAATTCACCCAAATTCCTTTTTTTAAAATATTGTGTCCCTTAATATTTGAATTTATAATTTATTTCAATAACTGGAGGATTAGGTGTTACTAGACCGAATAGTTATTGGTATCAAATTTCTTTTTTGTTGTAGGGATCTTTTTGTTCCAGCAACCTGACTAATGGTCTTGGACTGTTGTAAGAGAAAGATAACAAAATTCCCACAGTGCCTAAGTTCAAGAACCAGGCTCCCAAAAGAGTTTTGAAAAGTTTGCTGAAACTTTATAAAACACTTTTAGGTTATCTTCATCAATAACCAAATGAACATAACAAATTGATAAAGTGACTTGGCTTGAGAAGCTTGTGGCATGGGAGCTAAGCTTTCGCATGTTTAGCAATTTTGAGAGAGAGAGAGAGAGAGAGCCAAAAGCATGAATTTCTTATAGAGAGAAAAGGTTGAAGATGAGGAAGAGGCAAATTAGGAAGATTTCTATCTCATGAGGAGAGAAAACAATGAAGGTGGAAGATGGGGTATCTTGAGTAAATTTCTAGTCGCTTGACAAAGCTTGATCACACTCTGGATGATTTTTGCTGGGTAGAGGAAGTTCCTTTTTATAGGCACTTAGAACCCTAATTCTATCAACCATTCATTCATACTTTTCCTTTGCTTATTTCCATTCACCCTTTTCTGGTGATATTTCTTTAACCATAACGCATAGGTCACATGCTCTTTAGGGTTCTAAGGTTTTTGTGTGGCTGGACCTCCCCCATGGGGGTGAGGCGCCACCTGCTTTCTTTATTGGTTTTCAAAATAGAGCTCACGAATGAAAAGAAAATGGGTGGAGTCATTTGTTCAATGGGTACTCTTCTTACATATGTGGATTTCCTTTGGTTCAAGTCATGGCTTCTTGTTGACTATTTTGGAGTTTTGATAAGGGTGAAATACGGTGCTAGATTTTTACAAGGCATTGGGCTGGGCTTTGTTTATAGTATTGGGTTATTGGTATTCTATTTCCAAAGTCCAGTGGGTTTTTGTCAAGCTGCTGGAAATAGTCATTTTGTTTTATTTTGGGCACTTTACTGATGTGGGTTTGTCTAAGTGTTGCATCAAACTACTAAATGTTCTCCTAAGGCATTGGATCACTTTTTTCCTCTCTCATGCTAACCCATGTGATTGGGCTCGATGAATGGGCTTGAGTTTTATTGCTCCCAAGTGTCCTAAAACTTTCATTTCTAGAATCCTCAATAGGCCCTATGAGTGCTTGTTCCCTTCCATACCATAACATTCTCAGCAAGCCCCAGGTAATTACGTGGCTTGGTCCCACTTAAGCATGTAGCATGACTTGGTATTAGAATAGCAGTCCTTCACATGGCACTGCGTGTTTATTTAGCATGTTTATGCTTGAATTTCATCGTGTTACTATAAGCTATGATCAGGCCGCGTAACGTTGAATAGATTAGTAAGCGTGAATTTATAGAGCCGGTGCGTTTTGGTCCTTTTGCGTGGTGGGCGCACATATTTGGCTTGGCGCGACGCGTGGCCTATGGCTCGTACATGTGCATCCTACAAATTCTTTTATGTCCCAATTGGGCTCCTTTTGAGATCAATTATTTGTGCTGGGCTAAGAATAAACCTGGGCCTAGCCCTTGGATTTTTGGGCCTCAACATTTGTATATAGGGAAATTTACATAAATACTATCTTAACTTTTAAGTGTGTGTATTGTTACCACCTGAATTTTTAATTACAATTAACCACATATGTCTAACTCCGTTAAAATTTCTAGTAAGCTCCCATCGAATGTAATTTATTATTCTCAGGCAAATGGGAAGAACAAGCAGTGAAACGATAATCAGTGGCGAAGCCAGGATTTCATGTGTGTGAGAGCCTCTTACAAATTATAAATAATCAAAAATTCAAACTCACAATACATACAAAAAATAGTGTATATATATCACATATGTCAAGAATTATATTGCTTATTGGTTGCAATCATAATTGTTCTCGACAAAGGGATAGACAAATACATTCTAAGCAAGAAAAAGTGCAAGAGATAGACAAAGAGTAGCGATTTAGCAAATATCTTTAAAGCTTTTTCCCCCATTAAACCCAATAGAAAGAAGAAGAAAAAAAATCAAAATTTCCCAAATTAAAAACAACCTTAGGCCCCTTCATGCATTCATATCATACATGAAAAAATATTGACTAAGTATGAAAAATGGTTTTTCGGAATAATCATTTTCTCAAGATAATTTTTGGCGGCTTTTATTCCTTACACATCAAATAAGAAAACTTGATTTTATGGGATTTTAGTATGAAGTATATATTGACTTAATGAGCCATCAATTTTAGCATAAATCGTATTTTACACTAAAACCGATTTTTCATATTTTGATTTTGTGGGAATTTGATTTTCGAGTATTTTTATTTGAATCCAAATAGGGGTACTTCTTTATTTACATTGTAAACTTAAGTAAATGAAGTAATATAAAAATAAATTAAAGTAAAATGACAAAGACATTTACTTAAATGTTGAAAATGGAAATAAGGTCATCTGTACACCTGGAGTGCACCACCACCAGTTGAGCAAGGGCTCAATTTGAACTACCTCATTGTGTCTTAATAAGTCCGCCACAACACATGTGGGTACATATCAAAACGTAAAATATTTGAAATAATATACATATACAAATACATAATAGTATATTACTTTTTAAATATAAAAAAACTTGAGTGGGGGCCCGAGACCACACTGATCCCAGTGTGGCTCTGCCCCTGACGGTAATAGGAAATAAAGGGCAACAAAACATCTTTGATCCATTTCCCTTGTTATGTATTCATATAGGTTCACGAATCACAATTCAATGAAATGCTCAAATAAGCATTGTTAAATCAAGTCGTATGTGATATTTTTTGAAAAGTAATTTCGTCAATTCACTATAACTAAATTATAAATTAAAAAAACAAAACAAAACAAATTATTCGGGGACTTCCACAATCCCTTCTAAGTTCCAACACCTTTCTCCCCCACTGCCCAGCAACCTCATCCCCACCCTATGCATAGATAACTCCCCTCCATACTCCATATCTCTCTCTCTCTCTCTCTCTCTCTCTCTCTCTCTCTCTCTCTCTCTCTCTCTCCACCGAATTCTGTTAACATGGTTATGCATGCATGAGTTTCTTTTTTGAAAATTTTATTATATCCCCAAAGACTTCAATAAATTAGTATGTAAGATTATTAATCACAACCAAACACTATTGTACAACCAACATATTTATCCCTTGAGAGAGCCGCCAAGTTGTTCATCAATATGTAATGATTTGATCTTATGAGTAGATTTGACACACCAAATATGGAGATAAAAAAACCGTAGTTTATTTATGGGGAAAATTGCACCTGTACACAAACAGAGAATTACATAAACTCATATTCTTTTTTAATTCACCATGATTTCCTCTCTTTGAAAGATAGATATATATATATATATATATAGCTTTCATTGAGGAATATATCAAATAAGTTTATTTGAGGGATACTCTTGTAGGGCCCACTCTACATTGTATTTTACTAATCCAAACTGTCTATTTTTTAGATAATCATTCAAAGATCATTTCTACAAAAATTAACTTGAATCCGATATCATTTGATCATTCAGTTGAGTTATTGAAATTTTAATACTTTCTTAAAGCACCTTGTTCATTGATTTTGTAGGATACAATTGAAAGTCGAAACGGTTTGTGATTTGTCTAATTTTTTGCAATGATGATCTATAAATATAGACTTAAAAAATAGATGCTGGATTGTT